AGAACTGTTTCTCATCATCAGATGCATTTCAAACTTTCATAATTTGATAACAATTTCTTTTTGTGTTCTCTTTTTTTACAATGCTGCTAAAGACGCTTTGACCTTTGTGATACAACAGTTTCTTCCTGATGATATTGTTTATGATTTGATATAAATGTATCGGTATATCTTTTATTTCTACTTAATTAGTTCACTTTTCAGGGCATAATTGTTCCTGTGTGTTTAACACGTTATGATAATGTCTAATTCGAATGCCTCATTTTGAGAAGGGTGAGATTACTAACCTGGCTTATCATATCATTTTATTGTCCTTGAACAATAGTAAACTTTGTTTTGTTATGAATGTCAACACGCAAGATCCCCTATGTTCCCTTCTTCCCTGTCGCGTTCTTTTCAGTTTGTCGTCCGCCGTATTGGCATTTAACGTTTAATATAGTACATATAAAACAGAGATAGCAAGTTTTGTGTTATAGTGTTACTTTCGTTTAACCATTTACGTTTTCGTTGTTGTATGTCATGTTAACAATACTATAAGCTGTTTGGCTACATATAAAACTCGTTGGATATTCGTAAGTTTATTCACACGAAGGTTGGTAAGTAAAGGCCATCCTCCATAACATATGACATAAGTAGCGGGTACTAACAACAAACTCATAAGCACATCAGAACATCAACAATATTCTTAGTTTCACATTAACGTAAAAACTGAATCTTAAAATGTATGTGTGTATGCGTACAGTAATTACAGTAACACCTTTACATCAGAAATATACATGAATGTTATAGACCGACAATCACCCCAGTAGTCTATATTTACGGCCGTTGCCCCGGACGCTTGGTTGCTAAGGTAAAACCACGTGACAGGTGGCCATATTTGTTAGTTGCCACGTAACCGGTACCCGAGTCGACAGTACGGAACATAGTACAATGGGAGGATTAGTCACAAACCTTTGAGTAATCCCTACAAAAGAATCAGATACAGATTTGTGAATGGGAGGGGAGAAAAAAAATGGGCTAGTGTATTGCATTTGAGATAAACGACCGCATAATAATTTTAAGAAAGAGACGTTGTTAGGTTGATGTCATAAGGAGTTTAATTAACGATAGGTGTTCTGGATTCTGGATACACGTTGCCATGTTGGTTACTATGGTGACCGCATAGAACGAAAAATTAGGGTGAAGACGGACTGGTCAGTTCAGAATCATCGAAGCATCATGATCGGGGAGAGGTGCCATTATCGATCGGGTTGAGAAAGTGTCAAAGAGATTAAAATACTACGAAAACTTTTGAATGGTATACGTCAGTTATTTAAGTGTTGCTATGATGATCCGAGGCGAGGACGGAATTATGCGGATGATCGAGGATAATCCAAAACAGTATGGAGACAAGAGTGGTTGACGAGCGTAACAGACGAGGACGGATCGAGTACAATGGCGATGCCTATTTAGATTCGTAATTAACCTACCCAGCATTATTCCGATG